ACTCAGCCAATGTAGACAGAACTCTCATAGATTATAGACTCAGCCAATGTAGACAGAACTCTCATAGATTATAGACTCAGCCAATGTAGACAGAACTCTCATAGATTATAGACTCAGCCAATGTAGACAGAACTCTCATAGATTATAGACTCAGCCAATGTAGACAGAACTCTCATAGATTATAGACTCAGCCAATGTAGACAGAACTCTCATAGATTATAGACTCAGCCAATGTAGACAGAACTCTATAGATTATAGACTCAGCCAATGTAGACAGAACTCTAATAGATTATAGACTCAGCCAATGTAGACAGAACTCTCATAGATTATAGACTCAGCCAATGTAGACAGAACTCTAATAGATTATAGACTCAGCCAATGTAGACAGAACTCTCATAGATTATAGACTCAGCCAATGTAGACAGAACTCTATAGATTATAGACTCAGCCAATGTAGACAGAACTCTCATAGATTATAGACTCAGCCAATGTAGACAGAACTCTCATAGATTATAGACTCAGCCAATGTAGACAGAACTCTCATAGATTATAGACTCAGCCAATGTAGACAGAACTCTCATAGATTATAGACTCAGCCAATGTAGACAGAACTCTCATAGATTATAGACTCAGCCAATGAAGATAGAACTCTCATAGATTATATACTCAGCCAATGTAGGCAGAACTATAATAGATTATAGACTCAGCCAATGTAGGCAGAACTCTAATAGATTATAGACCCAGCCAATGAAGATAGAACTCTCATAGATTATATACTCAGCCAATGTAGGCAGAACTCTCATAGATTATATACTCAGCCAATGTAGGCAGAACTCTAATAGATTATAGACTCAGCCAATGAAGATAGAACTCTCATAGATTATATACTCAGCCAATGTAGGCAGAACTCTCATAGATTATATACTCAGCCAATGTAGGCAGAACTCTAATAGATTATAGACTCAGCCAATGTAGACAGAACTCTCATAGATTATAGACTCAGCCAATGTAGACAGAACTCTCATAGATTATAGACTCAGCCAATGTAGACAAAACTCTCATAGATTATAGACTCAGCCAATGTAGACAAAACTCTCATAGATTATAGACTCAGCCAATGTAGACAGAACTCTCATAGATTATAGACTCAGCCAATGTAGACAAAACTCTCATAGATTATAGACTCAGCCAATGTAGACAAAACTCTCATAGATTATAGACTCAGCCAATGTAGACAAAACTCTCATAGATTATAGACTCAGCCAATGTAGACAGAACTCTCATAGATTATAGACTCATCCAATGTAGACAGAACTCTAATAGATTATAGACTCAGCCAATGTAGACGTAACTCTCATAGATTATAGACTCAGCCAATGTAGACAGAACTCTCATAGATTATATACTCAGCCAATGTAGACGTAACTCTCATAGATTATAGACTCAGCCAATGTAGACAAAACTCTCATAGATTATAGACTCAGCCAATGTAGACAAAACTCTCATAGATTATAGACTCAGCCAATGTAGTATCTTTACACTGTCACACTCTTTATATACATACCAGTTATTACTTAAATTGCAGATTCAAATTTTGAAGATGATGATAATAGTAACCCTGGCAGCAATTATCACATAGCAATGGAGAGTGTAGATGTGGATGTTGCTAATAGTGATCCTGAGTTGAGTGAGTTAGGAACACCTCCAGAATATGAATCACTGGGATGTACAGGTAACAAGTCAAATTTAGGTGCACACACTTGATAATGTACAAAAATGTCTGATTTATTCATAGTAAATGTACGTACATGTACATGTGATTTTAGGCTGTAGTATTATGTTTTACAATCATTACATGAAAGTAACCACACTAGGTTGTACCATCTTCAAGTTCAACACTAATTAACTTATGTTATTTCTAATCTATTTGCTGGACGGAATTGAGTTTCAATTTAACAAGGATTTAAGGTAAAACCCGGTCAGGTATTTGCACACATATGCATTATGGGATCATATCAATGAGTTTCAGTACTGCCTGAGTCCATACTCTTTCCCTGTGTGTAGTAATAATTTGGTGAGATCTAAAAAGGTCAAAATGCTATTGATTGCATTTGGTGACATGATTCTACTTCAGGAGGGCTACATGCTGCATACAATGTAAACAAAGTAAACTTGCCAAAAGTGACGTCAATTTACTCACATTTTTTAAATTCTATTGTTTTCAGTGTCAGATCATAATTATCATACTTCGCATTGTTTCAAAGCTAATAATTTTATCCTGGAGAGGCAGGTCATATCAGTTGCATTCTGTTTTCTTGCACAAAATTGACAAATATTAGTCAACAAGTTTAGAATAATATCTGTATGAGCTTTTTCATCAGTGCTGTGTTTATGAGAACATCTGCACTTGTCAAAAGTATAAATGTAATTACATTTAATGTGAAAAACATCTAACTTGTCATCGCTTTATGGTGATGATACATGTAAGGCAGTATAGTGGTTTCAAATAAATTCAATGAAATAAATTAAATCTCAGGGGGTTTAGTATTTAGACAAAATTAATGACATTTCTCTGAACAGGTTTTACATTTTAAACTACAAGTACATGTATACAGAATATGACAATATCTTTTCAGATTTTTACATGAAGTACAAAATACTGTGCGAGAAATGAGTTCAACCTACAGGAGGTCAATTCTTTCATAGTTTTTATGATTACACGTGTGGACCAGGTGTTGTAGTGATTTGGGCAACCATTAACTTTCCAATATACCATGACGATAGAGAATTCCGTAACAGACTTGAATGATGTTCTTGGATTATCTCAAAAATTTAAAAAAGGTTTTGTAGTGAGTCCAAAGTGGTCCATTCTAGTAATGCTTGTTTTAGACTGATTTAATTGGTTTTTAAAAGATATCACTTCTGCTGTCACTAAAAAGCATAGAATGATGAATGCTGTCATGGTAACTGCATGTCCTTATGATTGGTTAAAATATATATATTTTGTTTTTTTTCCCATTCCAGATTCCACAGTTCCTCCACCACAGGTGTCTGTGCAACAACCACAACTACCAGAACACAGATTTACTGAGTAAGAATAGCTTTATATAGTGTGTATAGTGTGAAATCATTAAATGAGTTTGTATTTTTGCCCATTTCTCTGGTAGCTCTACGGGAATATATTGTTTCCTAACAAATCAGTAAATTAAAAACATAGTAAGTATCCTTCCAACATCAAATCTGCTAAAATTACACCCAGTGAATATTTTAATGGAAAAGTACAGTGCCCCCCCCCCACATGTAGTGCTTTTTAAATGGTATGTTGCATTTAGTATTACTGGAAAAAAATCAATACATGGGTGGCTTTTTTACCTAGCCAGTATAATAATGAAGTGTTGAGGTATAGATGTTACCATATCTTTCATTGCTGTTGTCGTTATCGTTATCACCTCATTGTGGTCAGGATAATTCAAGTAATTTTTGTTTGATTTTCCTCAAAATCCGCGATAAAATGAATGTATAATCAGTGTAGTTCAATATTGCAATGGCTGCATGGCTGATATATTTTCTGGAGATGTTGGGGGAAAATGTGCTTAGGTTTTAAATTTGTAATAATTATCCTATTTCATGCTCCTATACCTGTATCACATAGGACTTTATTTTTAGCTTCCTTTGATTTTCTCATTATCATTTAGTCTTCCCTACCTTTCTGAAGATGATGTAAGAGATGTATTAATTGATCATGTTGCTAATCAGGATTGCTATGGTAATCGAGCAGCAAGAGAAATGAACATCAGTAACATTATTCCGTCCAATGCACTTCATGTAAGTATACATGTTAGCATTCATAATATTGAAATTTAACGGCAATTATGTGCCACTTAGTATGTTGCCTGTTTTTTTGTATCGCATGTACAATATTTATCATTTTTAATCACATTTGCAGTCCTTAATTTTCGCAATTTTGATTCACGCATTACAAAGCTAACCTTTACATACCCCCAAAATGATTTATGTTTCCTCCAATGATCGACAACCTCTAATTGCATGCACTAATAATAGAACAAATACTGTCTATGTATTTGTTTATATTGCTATATATATTATGTGTTGACATTATGTGCAGTTATTAATTCAAATCATTGTGTATATTTCTTGCAGTATGAATTGATTAGTTTCACAGAATGCCGCCATACTAAGCATGTCAGTGTGCCATACGGAAGTGAGTATAACACAAGTAACATAAGGTTATTTAACTTATTTTAGAAAATTGGAGTTTTCTTTTTTTTTTCCTGCTTTCATTTAATTAATTGAATATGAAGTGAGTGAAGGTTATTATAAAACATATTTATTTCAAATATTTTAAAATGTTATTTTTTATTTGAAAACCATTTTGTTTCATATCTTGTACACAATTAATCATTTCACGATACTTTTTTTCAACACAAGCCAATTCTGATTGGTCTAGGAATGATGTATTTTCATGTCAATGTTTGCTGCTAATTTATAAGACACTGAATATAAGTAGAACTGAAATAAAACATTATCTTTTGATGTCACTAAAGAGGTTCATGCCATATTGAAGATTATGTCATTTTGTTATTGCTTTCAATATGATGGGTTAATGGCATTATAATTCTGAAAATGAAAAAAACAACACTTGGTCTCAATAATTCTGTTCAAAATTAGTACACAGCTGAAAACAGGGACTTATATTGACCTCAGTGCAAGGTGGCACACATCTACCATATCATGAGCACCAAACCTGATTAGATTTTGATACATATCTTTGCATGTTAATTAGGTAATTTGCATAATAATTAATCAGTTGTAGCATGTTTACATGTAGCATCTTTGTATATGTATTGTAACTTGTTACATGATTGCTGTTTATATGTAGATATTAATTAGTTAATTATCTTTCAACTTGTTTATTCTGTATCATAACAGTTTGCTTCAATGAATTGAAACTTGTACATTTGATTGTATAATAATAATTTCTATATAATCTGTTTTGTTTAATTAGCAAAATTACATACTAATTAACTGTTATCATATTTTGTTGGTTTGTATAACACTTTGCTCAAATGAATTGAATCTACTATTAATAGTACACATTTACGGTTTTTCTAATTCCTGACTGAGCCGATCAGTGCATTTTAATTGAATAATTTGCATAATTAATTGATTTCAGCATGTTCTTTCTATGTTTGAAAACAGTTTATTCAAATTTTGTACATGCTTGCTGCTGATTCAAACAAATATTTAATTAATGTTTAATAAAATAACATTCTATGAATATTGATTAGCTAATTTGATGTTTGTGTAGATAAATCCATGAATGATAGTTTATAATAGTTTGCAGTTATATGCAAATTACATGTAACTGTTATCAGCTTTTTTTCTGTATTTTACAAACATGACTTGACAAAAAAATCTTTCATTGGGAATGTTTAAATATTAGTTTTGAATTAATCTGCTCACTTAATCTGCATAGTTAGCAATCAGTAAACACATGTGAGCACATTCATTTCATGTCTAGCAAGGCCAAAAACTTATCAAAATCACATTCAATATTCTGGAACAGAATTCCAGTTGTGTGTACAGATTTTGTTAAAAATAAGTACATGCATCTTTGACTTCACCTATTATATAACAAACATCATATCTGACAAACAAAGGTGCATTTTTGTCAACATCAAATTCAAAATGGTTGATGACTATTGTTTAAACAATCCAAAGAGCCATATCTCGTATATGTCAGTTAAGATCATGAATAACACTTCTGTAATCATGCTGGTACTATGTCATTGACAATGACTTGTTCAGTTTATTTTTGTTTCATTCAACTTTACTAACTGGCTAGTATTTCAATCCCCAAAAAATTAAGCACAACTTTTTTTCAGGCATGCTTGTACCAATTTCATTGAAAATTGATGAGTTACTGGTGTACGTTAGTTCTGGTTTAGTGATTTGATTGAAATTGAAAAACTGGCTGCCATGTTGTTGTTATCATTTCCCAAACATGACTTGACCAATTTTGCTGAAAATTGATAAACAGATATATTTAAAGTCATAATGGCTTACATATTTGCAGATCAATTTGTTTATTGTTCATTTGACCTTTGACTTACATTTGTCAATTTTTGTTTCAAAAACCATGCATGTATCATTTTAACATGTGTATCATTTTGTTTTACCCTCTGCAAATAAGTTCCCAGATGTTGCTATGGCAATATTCATTTTTTCAAAAGTTTAACACCTATAAGCCCTGTCAAGCTGTATCTGGTTAATACAAAACTAAAATCAGTATGCAAATATTACAAAATTTGATCATTGACAAGGTTTAGCAAAAACTGAATTGTAAATTTGAACTATGATGACTTTATTGTAGGTGGTGAAGTCGATGGTCCTTCGAATGGAACACCACCTAGTCCTTGGGATATTGAAGTAAGCTATCGGCATATATTTGTAGATGAAGTCAAATACTTAGAAATACCGCATACAGCGTCCATCAGATCATGTTATTCTTGTCACGGTTCCGGGAGAGTGGAATGTTGGAGGTGCCAAGGCAGGAAGAAAGTATGATTACATTTTAATTATTATAAATACACTTCAAATAAAATGTCGGTGGATTATAGATTAAAGACTTCATGTCTTTCTGTTATCATTTTCTCAAAGTAGACGGCAAATTTCTCTCAAACCTGACATGTTGAAGACAAATTACTGGATGTGCAATTTTCTTGCGAAATTGTTGCATATTAATTGGGTAATTTGCATAATTACTGCTTTTAACATGTTTCTGTGCATCTCATCAGTTGTATGAAATGTTTTCACTAGTGCGTAATAATTATCAAATTTGCCATTTTTAGCTTGCTTGTAATGTTAGTGAAGGGGAAGTTATATGAGGGATAAATATCTGCCTTGTCGTCGTCGTTGTTGTCTACTTCCTTAACAAAAATGCAATTTTTATCTAATCATCTTCAAACTTGAATATTATTAAGTTCAATTGGGTAGTGGGATTTGCTTGTTTACTTTTTAAAGATATCAAAAAATTGTCTCCTTTTGATGGTTCAATAAGACAAACAATTTTTATCTGATCATTTTTAAACTTAAAAATCTTATCTATCACTATGACATTTGGGTAAAATAAAACATTTTGTTAGACATTCTTTTCACCAATAGTTGACAGTCAAGCAGTTTTTTCCTGCCAACAATTCTGGCCTGTATTTTCTCACCATATTATGCTTAGATACATTGTTGTATTATTTGAAAACTATGCAGTAAATCTTATATTATCATCTAAGGAGCCTAGAGATTATTTTCTGTATTCATTTAATTTATATCCTCAGTCAGAAAATCACTACATTGATCAAAATTAACACTTTTTTATGCTTACTCAGGTACTAATTTTAAGAGTAGGTGATCACAAATATGGTTCACGTGGTTTGGGCTACTTGTAAATTGGAGCCCAGCAAATATTTTTTACTGAAATTGTGAGAGTATTTTCCCTCTGTAACTTTCACATAGTTCATGTCATACTTTTTAAGGGCACTGATATAATTTCTGTATGTTTAATGCTAACCAAGAAACAAGAAGATTTATTAATTTCATAATTAATTACTTATGACCTCATTTTCATTGTTTACTTTATAAGAGAACAATACTAAATCAGTGAATTCCCCACAAATACCCCAGCTTTGACCCTGAGAATTATACCCAATGTGTTTGTAACCATTACATCATAAATCACAGTATAGTTCACAAATTATGGGTAAAGTGATCACTATAAATTTACCATGCTATTAAATTAATCTCAATGAAAACGCTATTATATAATTATAGAGTTACAATTTAATTGACTTTTAATTAAACTCCAGTTAAATCACAATTCTACATGGGGTTGCATTTTAATCTGACATAATGCAGCAACTATTTTAAAAGTTAATTAACTTGATGTACTCAGAACATATAGCAATCACAGTATGCATGTGTGTATATGCAAGTCTGTTTCACTATTATCTCAAGAACCGTTGTTGGATTTCGATACAACTTGGTATATTGATGCCCAGAGACAAAGCAAAGACCGAACTAGTAGATGGCTAAATTTATATCTATTAATTTCCTAATTTGCATAACAATTAGCCTAGTTTCATCTTTTCTATAGATCTCAATACACATTTTAATGAAACTTAGTACATAGATGCCCTGGGACAAATCTGATTAGTTTTGGATTGTAATTTGTGAATATTATATATAATTTATCAATCTTCAGCTTTTCTTGAGACATCTGAAGAACTAAAACATTACTTTTCATTTAAACTTGGTAAGAAGATGCTCCTCGACAATGCCCAGACCTCAACAAACACTCATTCAGAAGTTAATAATACTTGGTACACCTGTGCTCTGGGAGAAATCACATACATATTTAGTCCAGGGTTGAATTTTGTGCATACTAATTATCCTATTTGATCATGAGATCTCATGAATATGCAGTTTCAATATTTTAAGATCTAATCTAACACTGTTGTATGCAGGACAATGTAACCAATGCAATATTGAAGGCATCCACAATTATGATACATTTGTATATGACCAATAGATTGCGATGTATGGTAATGTGGCCTAATTAATATGCATACTGTATTTGCTCCATTCGTAGCGCATGTGCTTGAATAATCAGTCCCCATTCGCGCGCAGTTCCAAAACGGCGACTTATGTTTTGATCTTTGTGTGTCTATGTGTCCATGTATCCATGTGTCCATGCGTCCAGACCTGTATCTTAGACATGCCTGGACCAATCACAATAAAACTTCACACATATATCATACATAATATTATACATATGCACATTGATTTGTTTCATGATCTGATTCAAGATGGCCAAATAATGGCCATTTTTGTGCTGAAAAATCAGCATTTATAGATGTATTTTGTTCAAACTTGGTACATACGTTGGACATTATGGGACCTTGATGAACATCGATTTATTTTTCAGATCCAATTTAAACTGGCCGACTGGCATCCATTTTGTTTTAATGATTGCAGTTCTAGTGCCATATCTCTGCCATGCTTTGACTGGTTATGATCAAATTTTATATATTCATTATAAACATGACATAGTTATATTGGTTTGACCATCTGATTCAGAATGGCCAAATCGCAGCCATTTTTATGCTAAAAATCATCAAAAATCAAGCATTTCTGGCTGACTGGCGGTCATTTTGTTTAAATGAGTGCGCTTCTAGAGCCATAGTTCTGCTATGCTTTGACTGATTATGTTCAAATTTTATATATTCGATTCGTTTTATATCATTATGTTATAGATATATAGATGTATTCAAAATGGCCGACTGGTGGCCGTTCCAGAGCAATATTTCTCAATATGGACAAGTACTCGTTTGATGATCAGATACAAGATGTCAATCATTTTAATGTTAAAAAAATCATTATAATCAAGCATCTTCTGGATCCATACTTCTGACATGTTCATGTTCCAACTATATTACTGTAAACAAAACTATATATCTTAAATTTGATAACTAACATGGACTGTGCCATGCATGGCTTCTTTATAAATATTTTTTGAGATGAATAATGTTTTAATGATTCCATATACAGCCAATGATATTTTTGATTTCCATGTGCTTCTAATAGAACAAATTCAGTAACTATAATATCTCAAAATACTGTTGCATATATAGACACACAACCAATACTACAATGTCACTTCATCATGTACTTCATGTCTCCAATGCTCTCATAGCACAGAATTTGTTTCTAAGGTTTCTTTGATTTCTTGTTTAAAGATGAGATGCTCCACTTGTAGTGGTTGTGGTCGAGTATCATACAGAGTATATGAAAATAATCACACAGTAACTAAATATAAGAGATGTAGTAAATGTAGTGGATCAGGAAAGATAGTGTAAGTATCATCAATATATGTTCTGTAGCACTGTATGTATTATGTACAGCATGTGTTCTGCAGCAATACATGCATTATGTACAGTATGTGTTCTGTAGCACTGTATGTATTATGTACAGTATGTGTTCTGCAGCAATACATGCA